CGTTCATTTCGATATTTGTTGGAAAATTCGGTGCATTCATGTTGGCTGCAGTGGGCGTACCTTGTTATGCTCATTATACTATCAAGAAGGTGCGATACATTCATGTGCTCATCGCTAATCTTCTAAATACCCCATTTGTAATGACGATATCCATGTGCACTAATCACGATATGATTGACATGGGCATAAGGATACGGATATGGTCGTATGTCGTCAAATATCAATGTGTTGTGTGCGCTACTCCTGGCGGATACAGCGGTGTGTGCCATTGGATCGTTCGCCGTCGTCCTTTGTTGACGGCTCGTTCCAAGGTAATACTGAGCGACTTTCGGCAGTCCATGTATTCATTTGAGACCTCGAGTCTAACTGTGACTTTTATCTTTAGCACGCCATGAAGGAAGGAAATGGTGTTGGGGAAGGTGTAGTGTAGTCGCTGTGAAAGGACGAAACTGTGCTTCCCTTTCCAGTCGTCGTTGGGCATGTTTTGCCTCTGAGTGTGGCCTAGTATCACCCAATGAATCCCCTTCACCAACTAGCCCAAGCGACAGATACCGTAGATAAGTTCACAAGATTGCCTTATGCTACCAATGCATGCCAGCCATCTGATTTGGTATGCAAGAGGAAACCGGTGGCCCTTATGAGTCCCACCATCTTGATTATGCAACAACTGACAGGAAAGGCTCGAACGCTTTTCAGAAGCTCACAGTACAAACTTTCTCTGAACTGAGAGAATCACTGAGCCCATAGCAATGCAGTGACTTGAGGATCAGGAGCATGTGACATGGAGCATCCCCTCCCAGAGCAAGGCAATTTGTAGCACAAGTCAATTTCGAGTTGCAAGTTCGCGGAGACAGATGGCCACGCGACGCAACGGAGGCAGGGCACCTTTTCAAGAGCATTACGTGTGCGGCATTCGCAGATGACTCTAAGTGATATGAAATGGAAGATCAACAGTGGGCTGGGTGAAAACAGTACCACTTTATTTGCACGCCTCTGCATGTCAAGGCCCAACTTTGGAAATTTGATTTTCGCTGTAGGGAAGTGATCCGTTTGGCGAAAGACGTTGTCGAGTGGATATCTCAAAACAAGTTCTATGGTCACTTCCGATGACGGAGTATTCGGTGGAATTCCTGAAGTAATTAGCAATTTGGGCCCTTGGCGGGTAGAGGAATTGTTTTCGACAAGCAATAGAGGACCATGTAACTTCAGCGCGTTTAAAGCCACATTCCTGAAAAACTCGTGACCGAGAGATGAGACGCTACGACATCTTTCTCACTGGAACGCCGCTGAAGTCTTTGCTATCCCACAAAACATAGAAGAACCACAGGCTTGTCACTGCTCATGCTAGGGCGTGTAGGGAACTGGGGTTGGCGCAGCGCAATCCGTTCTCGGCCAATTGTGGAAGTCAGTTGCGGATACAATTGGTGGAAAACGAACAGGGTCAGCGCCAAACTCATCTCCCCTCCCTGACACGCCGCACCGTCCGCAGCAAACAAGACTGTACTGTTTTGTACTACATAATGTGGACTCTAGGCGAAACGCTTCCCAAAGCTGTATCACCCTCACCACAGCAGCTTCATGCATTCATCCGCTGATTTCCAGTCAGGTATTGCCGAAGCAGCTGAAAAAGTAACCGGTGATAAATCGGTCCGCATGGAATTGCTATCATATGCCATTCTGCAAGGAGTACTCATGGGTTATGTTATCGACAGTATTTATTTGAGTTATATACCATATGCTGTAATTACTCCAGCTATTATTACGGTCTCATTCGCGGTGAGTCCACAGTAACCTGCCTGGCTAAATGCGTCTTCTAGAGCACAGTTAGCATGACCAAAGCCAAAAACACTACAGAGTATTACGCGGGTGAGGAATGCAAGTAAGAGAGGTTTCAAAAATGACAGTGCTGGACTAGAAGGACCATAAGTGATTAGAAAAAGCAAAGGCGCTGGGCACCACCGTCCTCTGCCGCGAATCTCGGGCATGTCAGGGGTTGGGACAGTTTGGCGCAATGCTAGCCAGTTTCCCACCAAGTGGGGTCGTCTGGCAGCTTCCGGAGTGCTCCTATCTGTGTGCAAGGAGAATTGGTCCGCAGCTGCAGTGACGTGCCAGTTTCTCCGATCAGAAATGCAAGGGAACGGGGCTGTACGGCAGTGGCACCTGAGGGCTTCTCTATACTCCGCCCGCGCTCCTGCACAGCGAACGCCTAAACATTGCCGTTTATAAAATGGGAACCAACTGGAAAAAAATTTCGAAGGATGAATTTTCGAGTGTGAATTTTGGTCTATTGCAGGCAGTCGCTAAATCTGCCGAAGGAGATCGTAAAATGATGCTCGGTAGTACAGTTGGTGCTGCTATTTCATTCAATTTTATGTTGGGATTGATAACAGGAAGCTTGTCGTTTGTTTACTTTCTGTTAACTCTCACATACGCCGGAATTGCTGCGGTCATCATGCAACTTTGCTTTAAGAATCTCAAAGGCGTTGTTAGTATTTGTACAAGTAACTTAGAATAATCTTTGTTCAGTTACTCAATGCTGAGTTCTGATGTTATCACAGGAATGGGTTATAGGCAGAAGCTTCGTACTCGGGCAGGACCAAACCCGCACCTCACGCTTGCCAGGCGTGTGCGCTATCCGTTACGCCACCATGGCCGCCTCTCAACCCCCCACATTTCAGCTTAATGGGATGGTTCTGGCAGCGTAACGGATAGCGCACTCGCGCGGCGAGCCTGTGGCGAGCCTTTTGAGTCCCGCACGAGCTCAGAAGTATCGCCGAGTTCATCATTCTTGTGATATGTAGCTTTCTGAGTGCGAACTGCGGCGTTAACGTTATCATACTTTAGCAATTAAAAGTTTTGTTTTCAGTCGACAGGACACGTCTATCAGAATGCACTTAGCTGCAGCTTCATTGTGGCCAAAGGACTGTTCTTCTTATTGTTTGGCTCTTACGATCCAGAACCGGAACCACAGCAACAGCAGTCCGACAAATGAGAACATCCGCGAAATAGCACCGTTTTAGAAGTTTAAATAAAAAAACGTGTAAAGATTTCTTTACACTGGATTCCAGTGGAGGCAGGAAAACGCAGATACAAGAAATGCAGGAGGATCAGGGAAAAGAGCTCCGGAGAATCACGTCTATCCGAAAAGTCGATGTGAAGGTCTAGTTTCACTAAAGTGTCGCAGATGGTCTGCTGTAGCCATCAACCTCAGTGAGAGCCGTCTGACGCTTCCGGACCTTCTAGCTCCAAAGAATCATCGAGCCTTTACCTCCTACCCCCTCACCATTCCCCTCCACTAGCGCACCTGCACAATGAGGATGTACCTTCCTCCGTGAATCATGGGGGGTATCATGCAACGGGGGGAACCTCCCTTACGCCTGGCTTGCGCCGTATGTTTATGTTTATGTTTATTACGCTGCCAAAAAGGCAAACGTGAGAAAGCAAAATAAAAGCCACTTAAATAGAGAGAAACTAACAGAAGTTCCAAGGCGAGATGAACGATACATCAGTATCCAAGGAACAACTTCGCTCAGTATCCGAATAAAATTAAGAAGTGATAAGAAACTCAACAAGGCAGCTAATTAGAAATCTGACAACAAGGCGATAAGAAGTGTTCAATCAAAATTTGAAGATAGGAGACATGATAAGCAAAAGTCAATCTCAGTTAACTAGGATGTTTCGTGACTAAGTAGCTGGGCAGCTGCAAGCTTCTTGAACTGTCGAAGAGAATTGGGAATGGCCATATTCTTTGTAACTTTTTTGTATGTACTTGCTGCTCTAAATGTGAAGCTTGTGGCTCTGGCTCTGACCCTAGTTTTCGGGCAAGCTAAGAGAATTTTAGCTCGCCCCCCCCCCTCTGGTTCGTGAGTCCTGTACCCAAATTAATTGGATTAGACCTGTTAGACTCATGCACAAGCTTGTAGACCATGCAAACATCCGCAACCTTACGACGTGTTTCAAGGAGGAGAGTTCAAAGTACTTGTTTCTAACGGAAGCTTTGGGAATCCTAGAATACAAGAAGCTCCTAGTTCTTAAGAGAATTTTGCGGGTAAAATTGTTTTGCACTTTTTCTAAGGCACAAATATCCCGTTTACTGGCGGGGAAGAACACCGTGGCCCCACTCTCAACCAAAGGACGAACGTACGTCTTATATGCTTTCAAGAGGACTGACTTGTTTGTGGAAGACAAACCCTTGAAAACATGAACAGTCCTCAAAAAAGCAGAGTTACATCGATTTTTGATATGTTCAGAAAAATTCAGGGTATTGGAATATCGGAAGCCAAGGTCTCTGACAGAGTTGACGGGAGAAACGACTTCACCGTATATGGTGTATGGGAAAGGAAGAGCTTTCGAACTAGACGAAATCCTCATACACAATGTTTTATGCGGGGCAAGAGGAAGTTGCCAAATTCTCGCCCAGTTACCAAGCAGGTCAATAGCTCTCTGAAGTTCTTCACAGTCGGACTGCCCACATATCCTCTTATAGATTTTAACATCATCTGCGTACATCTTTACCGAGACACCAAGTCCCCGAAACAGACTAGGAATCTCCGCAGTGAAAATGTTAAACAGCACTGGTGACAGAACACCGCCTTGGGGCACGCCACTATAAGCTTCTTTGCTAACGGAGTAGCACCCCCCCCAACTCTAACTTGGAAAGTCCTGCCCCTGAGAAAATCGGTGATCCAATTAATAAGAATAGGATGAAATTTCAATTCTTTAAGTTTATGGATTAGCCTTACATGCGACACCCGGTCAAAAGCCTTGGCGAAGTCGAAGTAGATAACATCACAACAACGGTCGTTATCGACGGCATCTGTCCAATCGTCGAGACATTCAATCATGTTCGTCTCAACAGAGCGTCCTGGGGTGAAGCCATGTTGATTCGCCGGTATTAAGTCGCATTCAAGAGTATATTTGATGACATGCTCCTTGAGGCGTCTTTCAAAGAGCCTACAGAACAAAGAGGTGATGCTAACAGGTCGGTAATTACCGGGATCAGATGATGGCTCCTTTTTTCAAAATAGGTGTTATGAAGGAATGCTTCCACTGATTAAAAATGTATGCGAGAGGTCCACAACTGAAAGAAGCTACTTTTTTAATGAAGGATAGCGGAATGATATCCGGAGTAACACCTATTTTG